CAACCCCGAGACAGCCCCAGGACAGCCACGGGACAGTCCCGGTACAACCCCGTGACAGCCCCGGGGCAGCCAAGGATAGCAACGGGACATCCGCGGGTCAGCCCCGGTACAGCCCCGGGACAGTCCCGGCGGGGACAGCACCAGGACAGCACCAAGGCAGCCACGGGACCGCACCGGGGCAGCCCCGGGACATCTTCGGGACAAACCCGGGACAGACGCGGGGCAGCCTCGGTACAGCCCCGGGACAGACCCGCAGCAGCCCCGGGACAGCCGCAGGAGAAACCTGGGGCACCCTAGGACAGCACCCGCGGTCCAGCCCCGGAACAGCCCCGGTAGAGCCCCCGGACAGCCCCGGGAGAGCACCGGGGCAGCCCCGGGACAGCCCAGTACAGCCCTGGGTCAGCCCTGAGACAGCCCCGAGACAGCCCCTGGACAGCCCCGGGACATCCCCGGGACTGCCCCGGTACAGCCCCGACACAGGCACGAGATATCCCCGGGTCAGCCTCGGTTCAAACCCGGGACAGCCCTGGGGTAGCCCAGGGACAGAACCAGGACAGCCCCAGGGCAGCCCCCGGCTAGCCCCGGAGTACAGCCCTGGGTCAGCCCTGAGACAGCCCCGAGACAGCCCCTGGACAGCCCCGGGACATCCCCGGGACTGCCCCGGTACAGCCCCGACACAGGCACGAGATATCCCCGGGTCAGCCTCGGTTCAAACCCGGGACAGCCCTGGGGTAGCCCAGGGACAGAACCAGGACAGCCCCAGGGCAGCCCCCGGCTAGCCCCGGGATAGCCCCGGGACAACACAGGGGCAGCCCCGGGAAAGCGCTGGGACAGCACCGGGGCAAACCCGGGACAACCACGGTACAGCCCCCGAGACAGACCTGGGACAGCCCCGGGACAGACCCAGGGTAGCCCCAGGTTAGCCCGGGGACCTCCCCGGGTTAGCCCGGGGACAACCCCGGGACAGCCCTAGGACAGGCCCGGGACAGCCCCGGGACATCCCCAGGTCAGCCCCAGGCCAACCCCGGGACATCCCTGGAAAAGCCCCGGGACAGCCACGGGACATCCCCAGGTTAGCCCCGGTACAACCCCGGTACAGCCCCGGGACAGCCCCGGTGCAGCCCCGGGACAGCCCCGAGACGGCCCCGGGACAGACCCGGAGCAACCACGGGTCGGCCCTGGGTCAGCCTCGGGGCAGCCCCAGGACAAA